CTCAGCTTCTCCTCACAGCCTCTCCTCTCTCTTAAATGCCTTATCCCAGTTCTGGCTTTTATCTGGCACAAAAGAAATATTTTCTATACCAAACAAGCCACTGCTTGCACTTCACAAAGTTGGACTTCTACTGAGAAAAAGAAAAAGGCTGAAATGTCACAGTAATAGGAACTAATGAAACAAGCAGAGAATGCTTCAGAGCTGCATTCATACACCCCTGAGAGAATTTTATATGAAAAGAAAATTTTAAGGTTATGTCCTGGGTCTGAGTGAGGACAATGCCCTAAGCCATGCTGATAATGTAGAATCCTGCATCAGATTCATGGCTTGCTCTGAAAGCAAAAGAAATGAAGGAAGAAAGAAAGAAGTAGCACAAGAGTGTAATTTTTTTTACAAAAAAAAGGTCCTCTATGAAAGTTTTTTTGCATGGCATTAATCATCAAAGGAAAGCACAGCACTTGGAAAACCATCAGGAACTTGTGTCTGTGGTGATTTATAATGTGACCTTAAAACACCTCGTTTTGCTACAGAACTCAGACTTTATCAGGAGTGAACAGTTGGGAAAGATCAGTTTGAGCCCTGGAGATGGAGGGCTGGATTTATTAGACTAATAACAAATTGATATTAAGTATTATTACTTTCCTCTTGCTTATTATGAAATACCTTTTACTAATGATGAAGTCTCATGTCAAAGGCGACTTGAATGGCATTTCATTTTAAAGTAAAAGTATTAAATATAATAGCAAAGACAAATTTAGAAGTTTTTGAGTTTATTTGACTTTTCTTAAAAGAAATGCCAAGGACTACTGAAGTTCTGGTCTTCCTTCTTTAGTAGATAAAAGTATGTTTGTATGCATCTAATATTTGAATACTAAGAGTTTTTAAATTACATCTAATTTCCAGATACTTTAATTGAAAAAAATAACCTTTGCTAATGTTGTCAATGAACTTCAGACTCTATGAAATGATGATATAAATTTTTCTCCTTTTCCCTTTCTGTAATGATCATGAGGATGTGCACACATACACCCATGAAGGTCTGGAAATTATGAAAATTTTCCTACTTCTCTGTTTCTTCAAAATGTAATATTTTAAGGGAGCTAGAACACCTTTAAGAAATTAGTTTTTTGATGGCAGATAAAGAAGGAATTCCACTCTCTCTGACAGAATGAGTTCTAGCAGATTAACTTGGGGGAGAATCAAACATTAAAACATACTTTTGTTCCTGATTTTAGCAGATGTGAG